ACTCATCCTTTGCTGGCTTTTGAGTAAAAGTCAGAGGCAGAGCCGAGCCCGGATCACACGTGCTGCTGTGGTTTGAGCCCTTTCCCCGACGGCCTCTCTGCAAACGCTCCAGCAGCCACAGGAGTGATCCCTGCCAGCCGTGGGGAGGGGGCACAGCCAGCCCCTGTCTGTGGCACAGAGGGCAGCCAGGAGGGACACTGGGGACACTCGGGGACTCCTGGCCAGCTTTGCTCACCTTGCACACAGTGCCTGTCTGTGACAGCAGCCCTCTGCTGAAGCTGTCAGGAGTGCAAACAGCCCCTCACACTCTGTCCCTGCTGCGAGGCTCAGAGCAGAGCTGGGCAAGGCAGCAGCAAGGTGCCCGTCCCCTTTGCACCGTGAGCTGTCACATGCACTGACCCGCCCTGAGGTGGGGGGAAGGCCCCCAAAGCCACAGCAGCCAGGAACATCACCAGGGGAAAGGTGATGCAGGCTGGGCTGGAGGCTCAGCACCAGGGAAGGCAGCCAGCACCAGCCGCAGTTTCGGAGTGGGAGGGAAAGCGGAAGGCAGGGAACACCTGGGTGTTGCAACCAGACCCGGGGCCCAGCCGCCTCTTGGAGGAGCAGAGCTCCCAAAAATCCTGAGCATCAAGAGGGGAGAGGAGAGAGAGGGCTTTGAACAAGCTGGGAGGAGCTGCTTCAGATCCTTCTTCCCCTCTCAGCACGGCTCCAGCTGCTCGCTGCCCTGTGTCCAGTCTGGGAACTCCTTCACCTGGTGTGAAGCAGCGATTGTCCGCCCAGAGCAGCTCAGCCAGCACACAACGGAGACATTGTCCTCGCCAGGGACAGATGTCCCCAGCCTGTGAGAGCCCCATGTCCCTCTGGGTGACAACGTCCTGCTCAGGTGCCACTGCTGAGTGGGGCCTACCTGGGAGGGGACAAACCCCAGTGCCAGAGCAGGGCGAGAGGGCACTGCCGAGCCCTGATACGCACAGCAAAGTGAACCCCCAAAGCCAGCCAGCGTCACTTTGTCGACTGAGCCAGCCCAGTGTGGCCAGGGACGGCTCATCCTGTGCCAGTGTGGGCACCCTTTGGGCACAGACCCGAAATGTTCCAGGGGCTGAGTAAGCACCGCTCGCCTCGCTCCACAGAGGGGCAAACAGAGGCCTGGAAAGACAAAGAGACGCTGCTGCCATTGCAGAGCCAAGGGTGGCTCCTGGCACTCCTGATGGCCCATTTAACCCCAGTGACAAAGCCAAGGTGGCCCAGTGGGGTTGTCCAGTATTGGGCAATTGCCTCTGCATGTGGCCATCCCAGTTCCTGCCCCACTGTCACCAACACGCGGTGATGCCACCCTGCTTTGGGGCCATCCAGACTGGGACCCTCAGAGCCAGCAACACCCAGCACGAGCCCGCAGTGCCCTGCTCCTGGCTGGCAGCCCCAAAGGGGCAGGAAGAGGACGGTGTCAGCTCTGCCTCCCCTGGAGCCCCATCCACGCCGTCACCACCGCCTTTGTTCCGGATGTCGCTGGCACAGCCGGCGCTGCTCAGCACCGTAATTACTCCTGCCTCGCCCGGTGCCCGGCCGGGATGGATGTTTTCCCCATGACAGGATGCTCAGCAAAGCCCCACATCCAGGGCTGAGCAGGTCCCAGTCAGCCCAGCCCAAAAAGCCAAAGGGAAAATGCCCGGAGAGGAGGCGAGGGGAGCAGCAGGGCTGTGCCCACCGGCGCAGCACTGCCAGAGGGCTCAGGAGCGTGCCAAGCGGCACCAGATCCCTCTGGCAGCACCAAGTGGTCCCCTCAGGTCACAGCTCCAGCGTGGCAAAGCACCCGAGAGCTGGCGGCACAGGGCAGGCACCAGGGATGCTGCTGGCTGCCCTCCCTGCGGTGCCAAGGGGTGCCAGAGGCAGCAGCTCCTCAGGCAGCTCCGTCAGCTCCTTCTCCCTCCGGCTGCTGCGAAGGAACAGCCCGGGGAGCAGGAGGGAGAGCAGGAGGGAGAGCAGGAGGGAGAGCAGGAGGGAGAGCCCGGCCATTCCAGCACAGCCCGAGGGGAGCCGCCCGCACTTACCGGGGAGGTTTTGCCGTCCATGGGCCGGGGTCGCGGCTGGGCTGGCTCAGAGCTGCGGCTCGGCCATGCCAGCGGCGCGGTGCCGAGCGGGGCCAGCTCCGGGGCCGGGCCAGGAGCTGTTTGGCACTCGCACGTCAGTGCCAGCGCCGGCAGCAAACCCGTCCGACCTGCCCGGCCCCGGCGCCGCCGGTTTCCCAAGGCTGCGGGCGCAGCTCCGACACCTGCGCTCTGCGGGGCCGGGATGCGGGGCCGGGATGCGGGGCAGGGCCGGCGGGGACACCCGGCCCAGGAGCGGCAGCATCCCGCGGTGCCCCGCTGCTCTCCGGGCTGCCTGCCCACCCGAGCCCCCCTTCCTCCCCTCTGTGCCCCCACAGCGCTCCTGCCCAGCCCAGCGCAGGGCAGCGGAGGCACAGCCGTGCCCAGCCAGGAGAACCTCGCTGCTGGCACCCAGGAGTCAAGAATTCCCTGTTCCAAAGGAAATGAAATGCCAGTTTCCCTCTGGTTTCTCTAGAGGCCTTTTAACTCCTTTGCTGATGGAGCAATGCTTTTCCCAGGAGCCAGCACAGTCTCCCCTGCAGGCACAGCCTCTGCTTGACCAAGAACTCAGGTGGAAACAGGTGAAAATTCCGGGATTAAAGGAGAAATCTAGCTTCATCCTGTGCTTTCTTTCCATACCCATGACCCTCGGTGCCACAGGTTTCTCCTGGCATTATTCTTAGTGTAAGTCCCTCGTTCATCCAGCTCCCCACCCACCCCTGCTCATCAGAAGGGCAGGAGACAAAGTGGGGACATCCAAGCTTGGAGGAGCCCTGCTGCAAAGCCCCTTCCTTTTGAGGCTGGAAAGTTTGGGCTGGATCCCTCTGATCCTGCTCGGCTCCCTCTGAGCCAGCCCTCACTCCACATCCTCTGGAGTTTTCACAGCCAGGAGTGGTTTTTTGGGGTGTTTTTTCATTGTTTTTTGTGCCTCTGCAGGCTGTGCCTGCTGAGTGCCAGGGGTGGCCAAGCACTGAGCTGCTCCCTCAGGCAGCCCTGAGCCATCCCTGCCCTCTTAAGCTGCTGTGTCCACCCCAGAAAGGGATTCCCAGCAAACAGCTCCAGGAATCGTTCACTGCTTGCTCCAAAGCCACCTACAGAGGGCAAGTTCCAGGGAACCAGCAGCCTGGTGGTAAATGTCAGCGTGCACACAGCTCCCAGGTGAAATCCTCACCTCTCCTGCTAGCAACGCTGCTGTGAGCCCTCCCGCAGCCTCCTGCCCTCCCAGCCATTAAAGAGGAGCTAAAACACACAGCCAGAGCCGGCTCCACAGGCCAGGAGAGCTGCTCCAGCCTCCAGGCTCACAGGAATGGGGATGAGGATCCCTCTGGGCCGCTCTGTCCTGCGGCAGGGTGTGCAGAACCAGCCCTCGGGCCCAGCCCTGCCCTGCTTGGTGCAGCATCACCTGCCTGGCCCTGGGAACGCTTCCTGAGGGACAGCAGGGAGGGAATGCACAGACCCAGCTGCTCCTGGGCTGGGCTCCTCTGTGCTGTGTCCACGGGAGGCATTTCAGGGTCAGCCACAGCCTCTGTGCCCCCTCTCCTGTGGCACCTGGCCGTGCCCGAGCTCGGGCTCCACCCTGGGTGCCCCTCGCCATCCAAGCGTTCTGCAGAACTCTCGTTCCTCCTCAGCCGGTTTCGCTTTCCTCTAAACTGCCAAGCACTTCTCCCACTTCTCTGAAGCCTCTGGGCCAGCCCCACGGCGGCTTTTCCACAGAACTCCCACTTTCCTGCCTTTTCCTGCTTTTAATTGGCATTGCCTTACACAAAACACAATCTGTGGCTTTGTGTGGGACTGGCTGTGCTTCATCTCGGGACTCCTCAGCTCCGTGGCTGCCAGATGTGACTCGGGGGCCAGGAGCAGAGTGGCAGGACATCAGCTGGTCAGCCCTGGATGGGGATAAAGCCAGGGCAGGGAGGGGATGTGCTGCTGGTGCTCTGGCCAGGCTGTGAGTTGTGGCAGCTCTTGGCCTTCATCAGGAAGCATAAATCAGGGAAAACAGGAGAAATCTCCCACTTCAGGCCTTTAAGGTGGTTCTTCAAAGAGGAGCCTGCATGTCTGTGCCCACCATGATGCTCTCTGAGTCTGTCCACACCACTTCTGGTTTCTCTTGCTCTTTTTGGCTGTGTTCTTTCCACTAATTCCCCAGTGGGAAATTCCTCTTTCTGAGGAAAATCATTCTCCATCACATGAAGGCCCCAGGAAAGCCCTCAAGCCAGCTCTGAGGCAAAGCAGAGCACTCACACACAGTGGGCTAGGTGGTGATTCGGGTCCCAGCACCAGCAGACAGACAGGACACCCCCGTGGGCAGACCCCCAGCCATGGGAACACAGATATACCTGGGGGGCTACCCTGGGGACAGTGGCATCCCCTGTGTCACACTGGATTTCCAATGTCACCCCTGTGTGAGGCTGTTTGCAGGGCACAGGATAGCCCAGAGGGTCTCACTCGGCCCCAGAAATGGAGAAGGGAGAATTGCAGGTTGAGACAGGAGGCTGAGCCCAAAGGAAAGCCAGAACCCCCTCCTGGGGCTCCAGGGCTGGTAGAACCTGGCTGGATCCAGCTGCTGGCAGGACAGGAGGCGGTGCTGTGCTCAGGAAAACCCCTGTGCCAGGTCACCCTCCTGTGCCAGGTCACTCTCGGTGCCAACACTCACCTGTGCCTCTGTGCCTTTAACATCTCATTTCACAACAAAGCAGCAAAGGCAGAGACATCACTTACTCGTACGTGCCTTTCTCAGCACCCCCAGCTCTGCTCAGAAAAGCCCCAGAATTGTTCCCTTTAAGCTCTGTTGGAAAAGCCCAGCCCAGGCTGAGGCTTTGGCTGGGGGTGAGTGGGTGGACAGCGAAGAGAAGTGGAAGTGGCTGCTCAGTGACTTTCCTGGCGCTGTTTGAACGCCTCCAAGACGTCACTGGGCCAGCCCCTGGGGGAAAAACGAGCGCTCAGCTCCCGCCGGGGCACAGCCTGGCCCCGCGCTCGCCCCGCAGCCACGGAGGATGCTGAGCCATGCTCCCCTCTGCCACTGCCCTGGCACTGTGCCTGGCACTGCTCCTTGCCTGCCCCACTCACGGTGAGTCTCTCCTCCTTGTTTCACATCCCTGCTGGCCGGGGTGGGCTCCTTGGGGTGGGGGATAAGCTGGGAGCCACAGCCTGGACACGTTTGCTGGGTGCCCCGCTCTCAGATCAGGATTTTGGAGCAGGGCTCCCTGCTCACCGCTTGCCTTTCACTGCTGGCTGGGAGCCCAAAGGGACACCAGCCTCGCTTGTCCCCACCAGTGTCACCGTGAGGGGCCACGGCCACTGGGGACACAGTGCTGGGCTGGGGGTGTGCCGGCAGAGACACCTGCAAGGGAGAGGTGGCAGATGTTATCAGCGGGGCTTTTCTGCCAGGTGACAACACGGAGATGTGGCAGGAGGTGTGAAAAAGTCTGGTTTCACCCAGGCAGCAGATGAGCAAAACAGGAAAGCCGAGTCCAAACAGAGCTGGTGGGGAACGGCAGGGGCTGGGGGATGCAAATACAGCTCCTTCCTGGGGCTGAAAAGCACCAAGCCCCAGCTGGGCTGTCCCAAAAAAAGAAAGAGGAAGGAGAAGAGGGGGCTGAGTAAATCCTGGAAGCTGGACAGAGAAATCTGGGCAAAAGTTTTCATGCTTTGGATGACGAGTGCTGTTACGTCACCCACCACCCACTACCCACGAGGGGGTGATGCTCAGGAGGCTGTCCCTGTGGGGTGGGGTGGGACAGGGCTGTGCAGCCCCCCTGAGCTCGGTGTGCCGCAGGTGAGGAGCTGCCGAGGCCCCGGTCGGTGCGTTTCGCCGCGGAGATGGGCTGGCACCTGCTGCGGTGGGAGCCGGGGCGCGGCTGCCCCAGCGACGCCCGCTACGACGTGGAGTACATCGTGTGAGTAACAGCGAGGGGACACGCGGGCTCCTGCCCTGCCCGGCTCTGTTCCAGCTCTCTGCTCACCCCTGGTGCTTCTCCCCACAGCTATGGTGCTGGAACCCCCTGGACAGCCGTCCCGGAGTGCAGGAACACCTCGGAGCACTCCTGCGACCTCACCCGCTACACGCCGGAGCCGGAGCAGCGCTACCACGCGCGGGTCAGGGCCGTGGCCGGGAACCACACGTCCTCCTGGCAAAAGACCCACGGCTTCTTCCCACAGCAAGGTGGGCTGGGGCCGGCTCCACCCTGGGCGGGAGCTGGCGGGTGCCAAGCTGCTCGGAAGGAACCGTGGGATGAATGAGAGCTGGGATATTTCCTCCCACACCTTCCTGGAGGGCAGGCGGGATGGGACAGCCCCAGGATGGGTGGGACGGTCACAGCTCAGCCCGGGGCTGCAGGGCTGAGAGCTGTGAACAGGAACCAGCCCTGACCTGCTGTTGTGACTGTTTTTTTTGCTTCCAGCTGGCGTGCGCCTGGCGGGCCAGAGCCTCTCCGTGATGGGCAACTCCATCCAGGTGCGGCTGCTCCTCCAGGCCGGGAACAGCAGCCTGGAGCACAGCGACTTCCAGAAGGAAATGACTCGCTACCGTGTACACGTCAGGAGGACACGGGACAACCACACGGTGAGACGAGCTGAGCTGCTGCTCCGTGTTGTTCCTGTGCTGTCCCGAGGTGCTGCTCAAGTGGAGAAACAGATCGTTAAAGCACAGCCCTCTGTAGGAGTAAATGCTGGGCTTCTCACAGCCACAGCCCCACAGAGAGGCTTCTCAGCATGGTTTTTGGACGACTTCTGCAGCTCTTGTAGATTTTAGATCTGGCTGCTGTTATCATTATCACAGCGCAGCCTGGGGACTTTCACCAGGACAGCGGAGGAGGAGGAGGAGGAGGGAGGGAAGCAGGAGCGCTCACCTAACCCAAACCCTAACCCTAACCCTAACCCTGTGCTGTCCCTTGCAGGTCACCGTGGTGGAGAACAGCACCGAGTTCACGCTCAGGGAGCTGTTCTGGGTGACAGAGTACTGCCTGAGCGTGGAGCCCAGCATGGCCCACAGGCCCGGCCCCGCCCGGCGCAGCGGCGAGCAGTGCGTCACCACCGGCCGCAGGGACCGTAAGTGGGACCAGGGCAGGGGAACCACGGCATGCAGACCCCCCCCAGCCTCCTGGCCCTGCGAGGGTGGGGGTCCGTGCCAGGGCAGCCTCTCGGTGCTGTGTGCACGGAGGAATCCCCCTCTCCCCCCTCAGCTGGTCATGTCCTCTCTAGCAGGGAGCGCAGAGCTTCTCCCGGACATCCTCAGCTCCTCCTTCATCGTCCTCTCCTTGCTGGGCCTCCTGGGGGCTCTGCTGGCGTGCACCTACATAAGGAAACCTGTGAGGACTCCATCCGCCCTGGTAAGGCAGGGACAGCGCCTCTGGGGCCAGAGCGAGGGTGCAGGCTCGGGGAGAGCTGCGAGAGGCAGGCACCAACCAGGGAGGAAGCACAGCTCACTCCCCTCTTTCTCTCCCCCCAGAAATCCTTCATGAAGCAGAGCTCGCTCTGGTTGGAGCACGAGCCCCCATCCTGGGGCAGCCTGGATGCAGACCCCGTCCAGCAGCTCTTCCTGTGCCAGAAGGAGTCCCAGCTGGGCAGCAGCCCTGACAGCAGCACCAGCACGGCCCAGCTGCCCCTGGAGCAGGGCTGGACGCTCCCAGCATGGCCCAAGGACCAGCTGAGCCCCGTGGGGAGCAGAGACAGCAGCAGCACCAGCACCGACAGCGGCATCTGCCTGCACGTCCCCTCCTCTTCTTCATCCTCCTCCTCCTCCCTGAACGGCTCCATGGCCCCCGAGCCCCAGGGCTACAGGCAGCAGCTGCCCAGGGCTGAGGACAGCGGGGTGGGCTTGGAGAGCCCCTGCCCTGCTCCGGGGAACACCAGCCCCGGGCAGCCCGGGCTGTGCCCTGCCGCCGGCCAGGCAGACGTGGAGTTCCGGGGGTACCTGCAGCAGTCCAAGGGCACCGTGGAGCCCCAGAGGGCCCCGGGCAAGGCAGAGCCCCTCTCGGGCCGTGCAGGGGCCGTGCAGGGCCTGGGCAGCACCGACACCGTGCTGGACATGGAGTGCTCCGAGCTGGCAGTGTCCAAAGGGTATTTGAAGCAGTCCTGCCCCGAGCATCCCCTGACACAGGACCTCGCTGCGTGGGGAGCCCCTTCCTGTGACTTCTCCAGCCAGGTGGGACCCCAGACCCCCACTCTGCTGAGCTGGGCAGCCCCAGGTGCTCCACTGAGCTCCAAAGCCAGCCCTGATCTGAAAACTCCCTTCGACCTGAACATCTTCAACAACGCTGCCTTCCCGGGCACGCTGCTGCTCGTGCCCAGCCTCAGCTCCGGCTGGATCACAACGCCCATCACGGCCCTGGGCCAGCTCAGCCCTGGGGACAGCAAGGACAGCCGCCTGTGACCCGTCCCCTGGGGCCACCAGCCCTGGGGACAGCAAGGACAGCCGCCTGTGACCCGTCCCCTGGGGCCACCAGCCCTGGGTACAGCAAGGACAACCGCCTGTGACCCATCCCCTGGGGCCACCAGCCCTGGGGACAGCAAGGACAGCCGCCTGTGACTTGTCCCCTGGGGCCACCAGCCCCGCGCTCGGACCCAACTACCTCGTCTGCCACTGGATAAGCTATTCCTGAGCCCTGAACGTCCATGCCCAGGCCCAGCCCTGGCCAGGAGCACCAGCTCAGCCGCTGCTGGGCTGCTGTGCCCCAGCCCTGCTGTGGCAGCCCCCAGTGCACCCCTGCAGCCACCCCAGCTGGTGGCAGGCAGGGATGGGCTGTGCTGGAGGGGCTCATCCCGACCTCCTCGGGCCACCAAGGACACCTCCAGGCCACCTCTGCCTTGTCTGGCCTCCTCAGCACAGGCTGCAGGGCCACCCTCGGGGCCTGGGCTGGTCCTGGGCTTCCACTTCCCCCTTTCCTGGGCCAGCTGGGCTCCTCCTGCTGACGTCCCCACTGCCGATGCCGTCCCAGCCTTTCACAACACAGGCACGACATCAGACCCTGCCGGGGCTCCTGCCCTGCCTGACCCCACACAGGACAGGCCAAGGGACTTTCCTGACCCTACAGAGACCCTGCAGTACCCAGCCCCTCTGGGAGAGCCCCAGGGCAGGATATGGGATGCACCCACCAGCCCAGCATGAGGCAGGGCAGTCCTACCCACACTATGGTCTGTGTCCTGCCACTGCTGGATACAGACATTATTTATTGCATTTGTAAATACAGAAAGGATGTGGTGTTATTTATCTGGTCCCTTTGTCTGTTCATCCTCTCCTGGGGCCAAGCTGAGCTTTCTGTTTCCAGATTTGGACGTTCCCCACCAGCAAGAGGCAATGTGCCTTTGCCTCGTGTGGGGAAGGGCATTTCCACACCGCAGCCGGGGAAAAGGAGAACCAAGGCAGCTCTCCTCACACACCTGAGCTCCTGGGGGGCTCTCTCTGAGGAGTTTGTGGGAGCAATCAGCAGAGGAGCAGCAGGGAAAAGGAGCTGGGCAGCTCACAGTGATCCCACAGGGATGCACATCCCATGGGACATCACCTGGGAAGGGCAGGAGGACAAATCAAACCCAGGGCTGGAGGAAAGGCAGAGTCAGGCTCTGCTCAGCAGCGTGGTGCTCAGCCAGGCTGGGCTCGATGATCTCAGGAGTCTTTTCCAAACTAATCAATTCTGTGATGCTGTGAACAAATGTCACCAGAACGGAAACAGGATGAGCCCCGGCAGCTCGCCCTGGGCCACCCTCCAGGTCACAGGGAAGTTTTTCCAAACGTCACTCCACTTCCAGGAACCTTCACACTGGGAAGTAAAACTGCTGGTGGAAACCCTCCTCGGGGAATGTGGTTTTCAAGTGAAGGGTTTTTGGTTTTATTTTCATCTTTTCCAGCACAGGCAGGAGGAGGGGGCTGATCCTTGCTGTGTTTCCTTCTCTTACATCTCACGTGGAGCTGCTCACACGTGAGATCCATCCCTGCATCCCACAGGGATGTGGGGGGCACTGGGAACCTCCTCCTGCCCCTCCACTGGCCCCATCTCTTCTGCCTCTGCCTATTTTGGGGGTTAGAGATCTTTTAATTTTTATTTTTTTCAACTTCCTCTGGAAAACAGAGTCATCACAAGCACGGCTTTTGGGGTTGTTTTTCTTTTAAACGCCGCTGACGTCAGGCCCCATGGGTGGCTCCTGCATCACGCAGGGCTCTGCTGGATCCTGCTCACCACGGAGGGCTCCCAGCCCCAGGAGCTGGCATTTCCCCCTCTCCAGGAGCAGTCAAAGGTCTCCTTCCAGCCAGGAGAAAGCCACAGACCACAGGGTTTAGCTTGGATGGCCGAGAGCACAGCTGGGCTGGAAATCCCGCTCTGTCCTCACTGCTTTCCCTACACACCACCACGTGGCTCTCATGAGTTTTTCTTTGCTTTTCTTCTGAGAGAGACTTGCAAAGAAATGGTCCCAAGGCCCCTCATGCCTCACCAGCCCCCGCTGGCCAAGCAGGGCCCCTCTGTGGCCACAGAATCTCCCCAGGGCTGCTCCTGTGCTCCAGGCACCCCCACAGCCCCTTGTCCTGCTGAGACCGAAGGCAACTGGCACAAAAACACAGGAATAACTTCCACAGGGGCTTCCTGAGGTGTTTCCTTGCACTGGGAGTGTGGAGAGCCAGCTTCCACCTTGGTGCAGGTATTGGATGGAGGAGGACTGAGAGAGATTTCCCATTTCCTCACGGTGTTTCCTGCAGCGGCACAAATCCAGTCCCTCAGTTCTGGGGCTCCTCCTCAGCTGGTTCCCTAAGGGGCAGCCCGCTGCCGGGTCTCTGGGGGTGCAGGGAGGTCTCTGAGCCGTGGGGAATGTGGCTGTTTTCTCCAGGATCAGTGCTGAGCCATCCTGGATAAGGCTGCATCCTCTTCCTCCATCCCAAACAAGGGGAAGGTGCAGCAGTGCTGGCCCAGGCCCCTCCTGTGCCCCTGTGGCTGCACAGGGCCGCTGAGAGAACTGCAGATGGAGGAGATGCCCGGAGAATTGGTGGAGTTTCCCTCTCTGGAGACATTCCAACCCCACCTGGGTGCGTTCCTGTGTCACCTGCTCCAGGTGACCTTGGACCAGGTGGTCTCCAGAGGTCCCTTCCAGCCCCAGGATTCTGTGATTCTGGGAAGTTTTTTAGCAACAGAAACTTCACCGCTGCGGTTTCAGTTGAAATCCAACAAATTCAGGGGCTGTTTCTTACAGAAGTGAAAACAAAGGGATTCCCCCCGGGCAGTTTTGGTTGCTCTCTCTGTTGGTGCCAGGCTCTGAGTAAGAGGAAGCTCTGCAAGAGCACCCAGGCTCCTGCCCCGTCCCTCTGTCCCTGGCCACACGTCCCCTCCCAGGGACAGCAGGAAGGAAAACAACCCAAAGCCTGTGTGGGGAGAAACCAAAACCAGAGCTCGGGGAAAGCCTCTGAAGGCCCAGAGCCACAGGCTGGACTTTTGCTGGGAAAACCTTGGGACTGTCCTGAGGAAAGCTGTGATGCCCAGGGGCTACAGGGCAGCAGGGAGGCTTTAGGGCACAGCACTGGGGGGCAGGGGGGGACAAAGGGATGTCCTTCCTACCTGCTCAGCAGCCCAGCTCTCACCTCACAGCCCCTGGTTGTGGAAGGGCTCGTAGCCACTGCCCGAGGTGCCCAGCGAGCCACTGATGCTGAACGGTGGCACCAGCTCCAGTGCCACCGACCCCAGCCCGCTGCAGGGAAAGCAGAGAGGTCACCAAGCTGCCCTCCCTCCTCCAGCCCCTGCCAGCCCCCTGCCAGCAGCAGAACTGGCTGAGCAGAGGGCTTGTGGCACCTTGGCACTGCGCAAAGGGAGGTGCCAGCCTGCCCCTGTGCCCCCGGGGCACCACTCACCGCGAGTGGTAGAAGCTGAAGACAAAGTCAGGCCCTGGGGAGGCGGGAGGAAGAGGAGGGAGAGTGTCAGAGCCATGTGTTGCTTTGCCGTGTGTGGCAGGGTGGGGACAGGCAGGACGGCACCAGGACATCGCTGTGCATCCCCCTCCTCACCTCAGGGTGCCCCCAGCTTGGCCCTGAGCCCCCTGCACCGGCAGCTGCCCTCTCCCATGTTCCCCACAGCCCAATCCTTGCAGCCCTGTGCTTTGAGCCCCCCTGCCCTGTTCCCCTGGCCCTCTGTCCCCTGCCCTATTCCCTGCCCTGTTCCTCTGTCCCCTGCCCTGTCCCTCTGTCCCCTGCCCTATTCCCTGCCCTGTCCCTCTGTCCCCTGCCCTGCCCCCCTGTCCCTCTGTCCCCTGCCCTGTCCCCTGTCCCTCTGTCCCCTGCCCTGTCCCCCTGTCCCTCTGTCCCCTGCCCTATTCCCTGCCCTGTCCCTCTGTCCCCTGCCCTGTTCCCCTGTCCCCTGCCCTACTCACGGTGCTGGCAGCGGCCCCGCCGGTACCACCGGATGAAGGTGTAGCCAAAACTCGCCAGGAGCAGCAGGGCCAGCCCGATGCCCAGGACAACCCCGATCACCTTGCTGGGCTCTTGTCCTGGGGAGCAGAGGGAGCGGGGGCTCTGCAGACACAGCCGGGGTGGCCGGGGGTCCCCGCTGTCCCCTGCAGGACACCCGGCAGCGGGGGTACAGCTCTCCACACGTGCGGGGAGGGACTGCACCCGCCAGGGCTGCCAGGACCGTGACACAGAGTTCTGCTGTCCCCAAAGCCCCTGAGGGACACCGCCGCTGTCCCCAGCGGAGCTGGCAGGCGGGAGGTGGCCACCCTGCCCGTGCCGTGTCCCCACTGCTGGTCCCGCTCGTGGGGTGATGCTCCTTTCCTGGTGGCGCTGGAGCCATTTCTGGGCTGGCAGTTCCCTCTAGAGGATGTTTTGTGCCAGGGCGAGCGGCCGCTGCCGCCAGCGCCGGGCTGGCACAGGGCACGGCCGGGGCAGTGCGGGCTCTGCGCCGCCCCATCCCTGCCCTCCCCGAGCGCAGCTGGCAAAACCCAGCCCCAGCCGAGGCTCCCGGAGCTGGCAGGACACCGAGGTGCCCGCACAGCCGCCGAGCATCGATTCGTGTGCGGACAGCTCTGCCGGGAGGGCGCAGGGGTTTGGGCGCTGCCAGCGCAGGGCACAGGGACGGGCTCCAATGCGGCACCGGCAGCGAGGAGCCAGCGGGAAGGATGACCTAAGAGCAGCTAAATTTAGGCAGATGCCAGCGGAGTGAGAGCATTTCCCCTGTGGTCACAGCGTTTCCGCAGCGAGCGCAGGTCCCGGCGCAAACAGCCAAAGTGATGCGGCAGAGCACCGGCCGCAGGTGCCAGGGCTGGCGGGGAGGAGCAGGACCTGCCCGGCTCTTCTTTCCCTTCCAGCCGGCGCTCCCGGGGCTCGGGATGTGCGGGTGGCCGTGTTGGTGCGGGGCAGGGCGAGCTGCAGCCCCGCGACCCCCGGTGCGGGCGAGGCCGTGAGTCAGGGCCGGGGCTGCGCTCCGGGAGCGGCGCGGTGCGAGAACCTCCCTCCTGAATCAGCCGTGCCGAAACTGCCCGTGGGAGGTGCCAGGCCCTGCCCCGTGCCCTGGCACCCTCGGCAGCAGAGGTGCCCACATCCCAGGGCATGGCTCTGAGCGCTGCTCGGGCACAGCCGCACCGGCAGCGATCCCCAGCTCACGGGGCAGAGGGGAGGAAGGGCACCAAAGCACTGCCGATGCCATGAACACCCCACCTGTGCCCCTGCTCACCTGCCACCCGCTCACCTGTCAGGGGGTCCATGTCCCGCTGCTGTGCCACGGGAGCTGCTCTCGGTTATCCCAGCCTGGAGCTGCTGCTCAGAGCCCTGTCTGTGCTGGAGCTGCCACGTCCTGCCCGTCTCTGTCCCCTGGTGTCACGGCTGCCTCTCTGCAGCGAGGCTGGGCACCAGTCCTGGCCCGCTGGTCCAACTGGTTGGCAGGGAGAAAGCAGAGGAGCTGCAGCAGACACGACCGAGGGCACATCTCCGTGCCCAGCCTGCCTGTGCCCGCAGCTCTGCCCTCCCAGTGCTGGAGGAGGCTGAACTGGGAGGACTGGGAGCCTGAGGGGCAGGGACAGCCTGGACACAGGTGTGTCCAGCTCTGGCAAGGTGCCCGAGTGGCTGTGCCCTCCAAATGCCACCTCCCAGCAAGACCAGCAGCCAGGAAGGTGGCAGAGACCCATGCAGAACCCAGGCTGGGGCCTCAGGCAGGACCCCAGGGGACAGGGAAGGACAGGGGGACCCTCAGCAGCTGCCCCCAGTCAGACACGTCCCAGAGTGATGCACTTACAGCTCTACTCGATCATCTCCTCGAAGTCCCAAACCAGAGTGCCACTTGGGAATCAGCCCCTGTTTGCAGAAAGAGGGAAAACCACCTCCTGTGGCTGCAGGGAAAAGTGACCAAAAACCAGCTGGAACCTGGGCAAAACTCCTCCCTGCTTCGTGCTGCCGTGCCAGGCACGGCCTCCAACCCTGCCGTGCCCCACATCGGTGTCCATGGGCGGCCAGGGCAGGAGCAGCTCTGCCAACCTCGGTGCCAGGAGCAGCGGTGGGGCCTGGGGGGTGCAGAGGCAGCAGAACACAGGGGGAGAGCAGGAATTGCAGCCCCCGGGGCTGGGACAGGGTGAGGGGTGTGTCTGTGTGGCTCAGGGTCACTCGGGTGACCCGTGCCTGACCCCAGCGGGGCCAGATGCCCGGAAAGGTGCCATGGCAGGCTCGGGGGCAGGGGAGGGTGACTGGCTGCAAACACAGCCGCGCTCCAGGAAGCAGAGCGGGGCTGTGACACAACACCTGCAGAACCCTCAGAGCCTTCCACCCCCGAGGGAGGAGTGGCTGCTGCCGCCGTGCCACCGCTCCCGGGCTGCTCTCCCTGCCACCGCAGCAGGCCTGGCACCAGGATGCTCTGCAGAGGCTGCCAGGACCTGCCAGCTGCACCAGGGAGCCAAGACCTGCCCAGCCCCCTCTGCTGCAGCCCGAAAAACATTTTTCAACCCAAAACGTGCCACGGTAGCCCAGCAGGCTGCCCCCTACATCCCACATCCCCTGGGCATCGCATGGAGCACGAGGGCTGCGGTGCCCACAGCTCCCAGTGTGAGTGTGGGGAGGGTGCCCCTGACCTGCAGAGCCACAGGGGGATGCCTGGCCAGGCTGTGGGAGCGGGCAGGATCCCTGCTGGCAGGGGTGAGCTGGCACAGCGATGGCACAGCTCCCTGAGGAGTTGCAGGCCGTGGGTGCTGTGCTGTGCTGCTGGCAGCAGCAGGGCCGTTGGGAAAGCTGGATTTCCACAGGGGAAGGGGGTAATTAGCTGTTTGGCACATCCTGCACACCCAGCACCTCCAGACTGAGGGTGCAGAGGGCAGCAGCAGCTCCCCGACCCCAGCCTGCTCCCTGGGCCACCCTCACCCCGCTGGGGTGCTGCACCCCAGCCCTCCTCCCACCCTGCCAGGCTGAGGCAAACCTCTCCATCCCAGAGGGACTGGTTATTCCTGAATAATCACAGATCCATGGCCCTCAGCCATCCCTGAGGTCACCCCGTGGTGCCCCCTCGAACCTGGGTGACATTCCACGGGCACCCGCCTGCCTTCCCTTTAACCTGCCCCAGCCCTGCCAGCCTGACCTGGGGACACACAGCCCGAGTGACCCAGAGCACAAACTCTCCTCCTTTCCTCCTCCACCTACTCAGCCCTCGGCTTGACAACAACCCAGCGCAACGCGGAAGGGCCGGACAAAGAGCGGGATGGCACTGGATCCTCTTATCGTCAGGAGGAGCAGGAAAAATCGGTCCGTTCACTTCTGATAAGTGTTTGGTGACAGCAGCCCCGCAGGTGAGTCACCTGCCGTGGCAGATGCTGGGGAGATTACCGCAGGTGGCTGTGCTGCTGATAGATCGGTGTTGGGTTACAATACAAACCGGGATTCCTGTTTCACAACTCCTCTGTGGGTTTTAAGGAGGGCCGGGGCGGTCCTGCCCCAGTGCGAGCGCGGCGTGGGCACGGAGCGCAGGGAGCATCCTGCCCGGCTCCGCACCGGGCACAGCTGCCGCCTTCCCGCGGGCCGGGGGACCACGCCGGAGCTGCATGGACATGGTGAGTCGCTGCCCCCGGCCCCGGGACGGGCACCGACCCCCGCACGCCCTGTGCCCACCTGCGCTGCCAGGGGATGGGGCAGCCCAGGCCCAAGGAGCTGCTGCTCCCCAGCATCCAAGGAAGGGTTCCCCCTGTTCCTCACACCCCTCCGTGGCTGCACACGGTGCTTGGGTACCCCCCGAGCTCTCGCTCCCTCGTTTCTGGGGCTGCCTTTCCCTCTCCCGGCCCGGGCAGCAGACAAGCAAGGCGGTGTCCCCCATGCCAAGGGGAACAGGACCTTCCAAAGGGTCTTATCCCACTCCTGGGCACCGCCTGGGGCAGAGCCAGGCCCTCCCAGCCTCCAACACAGCTGCCAAGGCCTCTGCTCAGCGCAGGGGACACACCTGCAGCGCCCTGTGCAGGAAAAGCCACGGCCACCAAACCCCAGCCTGGCATGCAGTTCCTCCCTGGGAGGGACACACTTCCCCAGGAGGGCAGACAGCAGACACGGATGACCAAGCTCACTGGGCACTGCAGAACCCTCCAGCAGCAGCTCAGCAGGACATCAACCCCAGCAGGGTGGGGAACTCCCTGCCTGCAGTGGCTGCACACACCCACGGGTTAAATCCCCGCAGCCAAGGAGCCACCCTCGGAATCTGATGGCCCTGCGGAGCTTGGCTGGGTGAGGGAGACTCCCACCCGCTCCCCAGGGAGGGACGAAGGCCAGCTCAGCACAGAACCCCTGCTGGAAGGGGTGGGAGGTTCAGCAGGGCTGCACGGCTCGTGGGCTGGCACTGGCACTGGCACTGGCACAGCCGGAGCCTGGGATGGCCACGGTGACATCAAGGGCTCCAGGAGAGCGCAGCGAGGGAGCTCAATTAGTCACGGCAGCACGGAGCTCTGCAGGAAATCATGGGCCTCCACTCCACAGCCCTCACCTGGCTTTGGATTTAACCAGTGCAGCTCTTGCTCCTGCTGGGGCTTGAGAGGAGTCATGGAGAGGCAGCTCCAAGCTCTCAATCTCTTGGAAACAGAAGAGGTTCATGGACTGAAGAAAATGCAAAAAAAACCAACCCAAAACCCTATGATCACCCATCTCATCAGCACCCACATCAGACCTGGTGGCGTGGAAAGCGTCCCAACTGTGGATGACATGATGGGGACAACTCTGGGCAGCGTGGGGACAGAGGGACAGCCGTGCTGCTGCAGTGGGGCCTGGAGGATCCATCTCGGGACCGTTCCCGCAGGGAACCGTTAGGATCCCATTATCCAGGTGGTGCCCGGCCCAGGCCCAGGTGACACAGGAGGTCAGCATGAGGAAGGACCAGCCCCACGTGCCCTGGGCTGCCAGAGGATGGTGCAGCATTACAAAACTCCCCAGGCCTCTGGGAGCTCTTCCCTTCTGTGCAGAGCGGTGGCTCGGGAAGATGCAGGACCCAGGTTCCCCTTGCCACCCTGCCCTCCTGCTCCCAGCAGCTCCCAGCCACCAGAAACAGGCTCTGCACCCCAGGAGCTGAGCAGAGCCTGTCCAGGGGTGGGGAATTTGGCACAAGCTGCCCACACTTGGCACGGGTGCCAGCTGAGCCTGGCTTTGGGAGAATGGCTGCTGGCATTTCCTCAAGGAGCCAGACTCCAGCGTGCTGGGACACAGCCACATGGCACCAGGCAGGACCCAGTCCTCTCCTGCACAGGTCACTGCTTGTTCCCAAAACCAGCAGCCCCAGCCATGCTGAGGGACACGACAGGGAGGCAACAGCTCCTGGCTCACAAAGCCAGCTGCCTTTGTGAGCTAACCCAGGGATAATGGCTGGGCACTTGCTGTAAAACCCTGCTGGAAGGGTGTGTGGGCATGGCTAAACATGCTGGCACGGTGACCCGAGCAGGGAGGGCTCCCCTCTCCTCTGAGCCTGGCACACAGCCCCCTTCAGCTGTGCCACATCCCCAGTGCCCCCAGCTGCTCTGCCAGGCCCCAGAGGGCACAGGGCCCTCTGCTCTCCTTTGGTGTGACCAACACCATCACCTCCAAACCTGCACCGCTCTTGGAGCTCTGCTGGAGCAAAGGCTTCCCGAGCCCTCCTGGATCTGTGGGTCTGTGCGTTTCTCACAGCGGGTTGGACCTTCCTTACCTCCGCTCATGCAAAAATCTCGTCTTACCTGTGGTGGCAGAGTCCAGAAGCAACAGCAGAAGAGAAGAGCTCCCTGGGGCTGGCAGGGCGAGGAGGGGAGCGGGCTCGGTGCAGCAGGAGCACCTTTCTCGTGTTCCTTTGCTGCTCTGTGGCACGGCACAACCACACACGGAACAGACACTGACGGTGCCCACCTGAACCCTCCTGAAGGGGCTCCAGCCCACCCAGCACCCACCGAGCAGGGCTCACAGCACCCGCCCTGTCCTACAAGGAGTTGTTAGGGGATAACTCGGAGCAGCTCAAGCGGATCCATGCCTGAGTCACCCCCTCCAGCCCCGGCTGTGTTTACCCGTCTCTTAGCAGCGGCACAGCCCTGCCTCCCTCCCTCCCTGGTTCCCCTGGCTCGGGCTGGTTCCTCCGGTGTTCCTGCAGCCTGGCAGGGAGCAGCGGGGCTGTGCCACCCGCTCCTGACCCTGCCGGAGCCACAGCCCCGGTGCTGACGTGCCCCGTCTGTGCCACAGCCCCGCAGGCCTGGGGATTTTGGCTCAGGGTGTCTGTGCGCAGCAGAAAGAGCCTCTTTCACAACATCTGTGAGTTTTTAAGCCTCAGGTGTGTTAATGACAGTAACTCTATACCACTGGGAGCCACTTACTGGAACTGCACGGGTGGTGTCTGTGGGAACAAGGTGGCAGGTGACCCTGGGTGACCCAGAGCCAGGCGTTGTCACTTCAGGACAAGCCACCCCCATTCCCAGCAGCTCTAAAGCCACCTCAGGTGAAGGTCGGGCCCATTTCCCTGCTCATCCCTGCTGCCCTCCCTGGGCTGTGAGCTCACCGTGGGGCTCTACCCTGAGCACGGTGCCCTCCTACCTCCCAGCTGCTCTGTGCCTGCAGTTTCAGCCCGTGACCGGTTTTCCTCTCTGCTTTGCAGGACTCGGCCTCGGAGCGGCTCAACGGCAGAGGTAACAGCGGCGGGAGCTGGGAGAGAGGAGAGGTGCCAGGCTGAGCCCAGCCATGCCGGGCCACGCTCCTCTGTGTTGCAGGTCCCTGCATGAGACCCAAATCCTCCAGGACATCGGAGTCCTTCAAGCGGGTCGGGATCCTCGTCCTGGCCGTGGCGCTCACCCTCGCCTGCCTGGTGGCCATCGGGTTCCTGGGTACACTCCTGACTCTCCCCTCCTTCCCCATGGCCACGGCTCAGCCAACACAGACCCAGCTCCTTGCTGATCCCCCCGGGGCAGCCCCAGCTCGGTGCTGAGCCCCCCTCTCCCTCTAGTGAAGATTTACCTGGACCACCACTACCTGTTCTGCAAGCAGCCGCTGAAGCTGGTGCCGCTGAAGCAGGTGTGTGACGGGCAGCTGGACTGTCTGCAGGGCGAGGACGAGGCCAACTGTCCCCAGTGGGTCCCCGAGGGGCCACCAGCCGGGGGTGAGTGCAGGACACCCCAGCAGAGCTCGGGGGGCTGGGCTGCCGCGGCCGCCCCGTGCCGAAGCTGACTTTGTGTCTGCCTCCAGCCCGCGTTTCCAAAGACAGATCCATCCTGCAGGTGCTCCAGAGCCGCACTCAAACCTGGTCCTGTGTGTGCCATGACCACTTCACCCCGGCGCTGGCCAGAGCTGCCTGTGAGCAGATGGGCTACAGCAGGTACCCGGCTGCTCCCCTGCCTCACCTCCCCTCTTCCCTGAAAGCTCTGCTGGAGTGGGGCTCTGCTAAGCTGTGAAGCACTCAGAGCTCTGCACGAATGGTTTCAGTCCATCCCCATCTCTGTGAGTCCCCAGGGGCTGGCCCGGAGCCTCCTGTGAGAGCAGAGCGCTGTGCCCTGCTCTGCCACAGCCCACGGGCACCCTGCCCTGCTCCTGCTCTGCCTCCGTGCCCCCAGCCTGCCCACCCCAGAGCAGCCCAGCGTCTCCCTGCCAACACAGCTCACCTGGGGAGCAAGGCTCAGGGCCCTGCACTTCCCTCTGAAGATGGGTTCTGCTGTTTGAGCCACTGTAGGAGCCCAGACTGAGTCAAACTCGGCATTTTCCAGGCTCAAAAAGTCACTGATTGAGGCTTTGAACGAATGTCACAGCAGCAAGGAGCTCCCTGAGCTCTCCCAGAGCCACCTCCTCACTCCTCTGCACAGCAGGGAACGCTCTCCCCTCCTTCAGCTGCTCCTGGGCTCGGTGTCCCAGCCCTCCAGGGCTGTGACATCCCCGCTTTGGCATCCCTGTCCCACAGCAGCCACGTTTTCCTTTGGGATCCAGGCTCCGAGGGGCTGAGGCACCAGTGCCTGTCCTCCCCACCCCTGAAGCCCTGTCCCCCCGTGCCTTCCAGCACCCCAGCTTTCCAGGGCGTGGAGGTGAGCGCCGGGCAGCCGCTGCCTCCCCGCGAGGTCGTGCTGAGCAACGGGAGCCTCCAGGTGCTGGAGCCAGGCAGGTGAGTGGGGACCCCGAGCAGGAGCCCCTGGTGCCGGGCAGAGCAGCCAAATCCAGAGCCAAATCCAGCTCTCCTCCTTCCTCCCACAGGAAATGCCTCTCGGGCTTGGTCGTGTCACTCTTTTGCTCCAGTAAGTCCCATGGTGGTGCCTGGGCCTTGTTGGGGACTCCTCCTGCTCCAGGTCCTCGCCCCTGGCACAGCCCCAGGGGAGCGTGGCTCCATCCCAAGCCCATTCAGCAGTGTTTGTACGAGGAAAGATGGATTTAATTACCGCTCCCCTCATTAAGGCAGCACGAACCTCCCAGCAGTGAAACACTGAGGGAGCCTTACCCAGCATGGGCTTACCTTTACCAGCGAATTACCCTGATTAAACTAATTATCCCGGGAGGCTGGAGCAGACAGGGGGTGGCTGGGCCCCTTCCAGCAAGCCTGGGGATCAGGGGTGACAGTGGCACTGTGGGGATGAGGGTGACAGGGGTGCTGTGGGGATGAGGGGTGTGGGGATGAGGGTGACAGTGGCTGTGGGGATGAGGGGTGTGGGGATGAGGGTGACAGTGGTGCTGTGGGGATGAGGGTGACAGCAGTGCTGTGGGGATGAGGGTGACAGCAGTGCTGTGGGGATGAGGGTGACAGCGCTGTGGGGATGATGGTGACAGCGCTGTGGGGATGATGGTGACAGCGCTATGGGGATGAGGATGACAGGGGTGCTGTGGGGATGATGGTGACAGCAGTGCTGTGGGGATGAGGGTGACAGCGCTGTGGGGATGAGGGTGACAGCGCTGTGGGGATGAGGGTGACGTGCTGTGGGGATGAGGGTGACAGCGCTGTGGGGATGAGGATGACAGCGGTGCTGTGGCAATGAGGGTGACAGTGCTGTGGGGATGAGGGTGACAGCGCTGTGGGGATGAGGCGCCCTGGCCGTGCTGCTGTCGCGGGACCCTCGGTTCGCTCTGTCCCCATGTCCCCCACAGACTGCGGGCAGAGCGTGCGGACCACGCGGGTGCTGGGGGGCAGCCCGGCCGCCATCGAGGCATGGCCCTGGCAGGTCAGCCTGCAGTACAGGAAGGAGCACATCTGCGGGGGCAGCATCATCGGGCCTGGCTGGGTGCTGACGGCCGCGCACTGCTTCACGTGAGTGCCGCTCACAGCGCCGCTGCTGGGATCCCCCCAATTCACAGCTCCCACGGGGCTCTGCGCCCGTCCCCGCGGGGTACAGGCGGTGACAGCGCTGTCTGTGCGCAGGAACAACCCCATCATCCAGAGCTGGCGTGTGAAGGCCGGTTCTGACCTCCTGTCGGGCGCTGCCACCATCGCGGTGGAGAAGGTGTTCCTGGCGGAGGTGACACCTGCGTCCCCCAAGGACAACGACATCGCGCTGGTGAAGCTGCGCTCCCCCGTGCATGAGTCAGGTGGGCCTGGCAAAGCCCCGCCTGGGTGGGTGTCACAAGTGTCCCCTGTTGGCACAGAGCATCGGGCTGGGATGGCGATGCCTGGCGGCGCTGGAGCAGGGAGGGGGTGCCCAGTTGGTGGCTGTCCTCAGCCGTTCTGTGCCCCTTCCCTGTGAGCCCCCCTCACATCTCCTCTGCAGACAGCACCAAGCCCATCTGCCTGCCCTATTTTGACGAGGAGCTGGTGCCGGGCACACCCCTGTGGGTGATCGGCTGGGGCTACACAGAGGAGCACGGTGAGTGGCACAGCGCGGGGGTGGCAGGGATGGGGCAGCGCTGCCGGCAGGAGCAGCGGGCTGAGGGTCCCTCCTGGCCATGGGTCCCCCTGAGAAGGCCGCGTGTCACCCAGGGAAGCTGTCGGAGCACCTGCAGCAGGCCGAGGTGGAGCTCATCGACAAGCGGAGCTGCAACCTGGCCGCCTACCACGGCGATGTCACTGAGAGGATGCTGTGTGCCGGCCTGCCCCAGGGCGGCGTGGACACCTGCCAGGTGGGAGCCTGGGCTGGGCACGGGGCTGGGTGAGCCCAAACCCATCCCTGACACGGCTCCTTTGAGGGAAGAGCTGTTCGGGGATGGCTGCTGCGAGGCTCTGCGGGACCATCTGAGGGTCTGTCCTTGCCAGGGGGACAGCGGTGGGCCCCTCCTGTACTCAGGCGGGCACTGGCAGGTGGTGGGCATCGTCAGCTGGGGCCAGGGCTGCGGGACCCCCAGCACTCCCGGCGTCTACACCAGCGTCCGTGCCTACCTCGACTGGATCTACGCCGTGCGCAGGGTCAGTGGTGCCGTCCTGCCCGGGGGGACAGGCAGCTCCCTTGGGCTGAGCTGCCTCCTGAAGGACACAGCTGCTTTCCTCTGGCTTTTGGCTGCCCTGTCAAAGCTCTCAATTCCTTCTGTGCCTCTCTCTCCTCGCAGTCGGAGCTCTGAGACCTGCCGGAACAGGTCGCTCCTCGCCCCGAGCCTCCCTCCCCACCCCTCCGCCCTTGCTCTGGCAGCAGCAGGGCCGTGGATCTCCAGCCACGGAAGGTGAGCAGAGGCTCCCAAACCCTCGCTGGCAGCTGTGATTTAGGGAGCCAGAGCCCAGCCAAGGAGGCAAAGGGTGACTCGGAGTGGTGGCCACTGATCCCGTGAAGGAATCTCGCTGGCCCAAGCTCCCTTCCGGAGAAAGATTAATTTATTGCCCTGTGCTGACCCCGCTGTAGCAGGATGGCTCCTGGGGGGCCAAGCTGCTGTCAGCTCACTCCTGTTGTACAGAGAGAAATGATGTTTGTGCTCTACAGTGTCCCCCTATTCCCATTAAAGGAAAGAATTTGTTTTTTCACTCAGCCTCCTAAGCCTTTATCCTATTTCATCACAGCATTACTCAGCCACCCCCCAGACCTAAACAGACACCCACAACAACCCCAAACCACGGCGAGTTTCTCTAGTAAACATAAACTTTATTTCATTCAAGGCAAAGCTAACTAAACCTCTACAGTGCAAAGATGTGCTGTAAGTCATCACCAGCCCGGCGCACACCCCTGTGCTTACACGCAGCTTCCTCCCACGCAGCTTTACGTGTCCTGGGACACACACACACGTGTCCGTGGCAGCACACACCCCCAGGGTGACCCCTCCCCAAAATGCCTCTGCAGCCCCCCCAAAGCCCCGGTGACAGCAGGGACCCCTCGGTGCTGGCACAAGCCCCCGGGGCAGCCAGCACCCCCAGAGCCCTGCGTGCACACGGGGTTACATCCCTAAAACTGCTCATGTGGCCGTTTCCCACCAAGCCAGAGGAGAAATCCATGCATAGTGCAGCATTGCATATCCGGCAGGAAGTGGCGCTGCGTCCACGCGCCGGCTAAAAAAGGCCAACAGGTTAGGACGGCTAAAAATAGTCTTTAAAAAACTCCCTTCCTCACCTCGCTGTCCTCCCCCGCGGGAGGGCTCCTCCAAGGACGGGCCAGGGGTCTCTTGGGGTGACTGGGAGGTCTCAGGCTCCTCCTGGCGTGTCACAACGCCTGGCACCAGAGCGCCTTCCGCGCCGGGGCTGGGGCAGAGCTGAGAGGCAGCTCACACTCACTGCCCCCAGCCCACAGTGGGGACACTGAAGCACAGAGAGGTGCTGAGTTGGTCTGAGGTCCCTCAGACCCCCAGAGAGAGGATCGGGATCCCGACTCCCACTTGCCTGTCTTATCAACAGCCAAGGGGACCTGCTAAGGGCCAGGTGCCAATACCTGTCCCAGGCACACAGCCCTGCTCCAGTGGGTGCCCCCGGGCCCAGCCTGGGGTGACCAGCCCGCTGTGCACCAGCATCTCCAGAGAAAGCAGCACCCAGCCTTTCCTCGTCACCTTGGCCACCAAATCCTCGCCTACCTCCCGCTCCAGCACCTCTGCCAGGGCACAAACCTCCACAGCAAGCCATGGCTCACCTGTGAATCCCAGTTTACCATGGGGGCAGGGGAGCTGCCTGTCCTGCAGCTTCACTGTCAGACACCCACAAATTGGAGAAAAAGGGAACAAATCACATTGTAAAGGAAATTGTCCACTTCAGATGTAGCTCGCTCACTTCGTGTCTCACATCCTTGTGAGTCCACTCACAGAGCCCCCCAGGCTTTCTGCAGCACCCCTCATCCCAGAGCACTTCACCATCACAGCCAAGGAAACCTCACACCCACCCCGTGAGGTAGAGCAGTATTTTTGTCCCCATTTTACAGATGGGGAAACTGAGGCATGGAGAGGCAGAGCAACTTGCCCAGGGTTGCCCAGCAGGCCGGTGGCACAGCCCCGGCCTGGCTCCCCTCGCCAGGGCTTGGCTGAGCTGCCTCCCTGCCAGGGCAGAAGGGAAACGCAATTGGCTGCTTTCCCCCTGGAATCTCGTACAGAAACATCCAGGTAACGACTTCAGCCTTGGCACCAGCATCAAAAGCATCTCTGAGCTCCAGAGAGAGGGGAGGGGGCAGCACAAAGCCAGGGAGAGCTCCCGGCATGGCTGCCTGGGGAGAAGCCCCCCTGCTCCCAGGGATGGTTCTGGGACACGGCCACCTCCCCAGCCCTGCTGTGGGGGAAACCGAGGCACAGTCTGTCACTGATGTGGTTATCCAGTGTGCTTATCACAGCCCTGCTTCCTCCCTGTGCCACTCCATCTGCACCGCCGGCTCCGAGCATCCCTGCCCTGCTCCAGAAACCTCCTGGATGCAGCAGCAGCTCCCAGCCACCCCAGCTCAGCACCGCCAGCACCCAGAGGGTCACCCCACGCTCCATCCTCCGGGCACACCGGGACCCCCGGTGCCCAGCACCCGACCCGGGCACGGCACCCACCCTGCCCCGCACCCTGTTCTTGCCTGTGCTCAGAGCGGAGCCGGCGGCTCCCCGTGCCCCAGCAGCCTCCCAGTCCGAGTCCGCGAGAAGCTCCCAGTCCCCCCGGCAGCCGCAGCCCTGTCCGAGAAGCAGTGCAGGTTGCAGGCACGTGTGTAATAGAAACATGTCTCAAGCGCTGGCAGTTCGGAAAGAAAACAAAAGAGGATGCCCGTCCCGTGCCCGGGCTCCCACGGCGGGGCGAGGCGGGCGCGGGGCGCCGCTGCTTCGTTCATGCCTTTGGTGGTGCTTTTTGTTCCGCCTTGGAGCCGGCCAGGCCGTTCTCGGTGTTGTCGTTCCCCGACGAGCTCACCAGACACTCCTTCCTGCACAGGGAGAGCGCACGGGCAGCTGGCACCCCCCGAGCCCGGCCCCGCTCCCCCCGGCCCCACGGCAGCACCCCCGCACTCACTTCCCATCCTGCGTCTTCTTGATGATGAACAGGACCACCCTCTTGATGAGCATGAAGAGGATGAGGAGGCCGATGAGGCCCCCCACCACGCCCACGATGATGAGCGTCACAGTGTTGTCCGTCTTCACCACTGCGGGACAGAAGGTGCTGAGGGGGCTCGGGAGGGAGCGGGGAGCTCCCAGCTGCACATCCCACCCCAAAACCCCATAACCCCCCCACCCGAGGCTTCCAGGGGTGCCAACCACCTCCGTGCACCACCACAACAGCGAACCAAGGAGCCTGTCACCGTGTGTGGGCATTTCCACCAGCCCAGGGCCACCTCCGTGCCGTGGCCAGCACTCACTCTTATGGACCACGGTGAGGAAGATGGTGGCGTTGTGCTGGGCGTTCTTCTCCTTGGGGTTCTTGACGTGGCAGGTGTACTTGCCAGCATCGCTGAACTCCACGTTGTTCAGCACGATGGAGATGTTGTTGTCCTTCTTGGTGGTGGAGCCGACAAACTCCACCCGCGGGTTGTGCCAGACGGGGGTGGGCTCCGTGGCTTTGTTCTTTATCTTGCCGTGGTAAATCTGCAGAGGCAGGGGGGCAGGAGGGCTGCCTGAGGGAAAGGCTGACGCTCTCCTGATGGTGCCCAGGCTCAGCTCTGCACACCCCAAATGTCCCACCAAATGTCCCATTCACCCCGTTACACCAGGAGAGGCCTTGGAGAGGAACCTGATGCACATCCTGCTGGGAAGCAGCAGATCTGAGCTGCCCTGAAGAGATGGAGCAGACCATGCAAAAAATGGGAGATCCCCAGAGAAAGTGAGCTCCTTTGCTGGCCAGAACAGCTCCAAACCAGCCCTCCTGCTGAGGAATTGAGGAGCCAAATATTCCCAGCAGGAAGCAAATCTATACAGAACCTTTCATATTTCAAAGCAAGCGAAGGAGGAGGAAATGAACCATATTTTGCCCTAAGTGCAGATTTGCACCTGAACAGCCAATTTATGAAAACAAATGAGCCCGTGGGCAGCAGCAAATCTAGAACAGCTTTGTGCCAAAAGCATGATGTTCTAGGGCATTTAAGTCACCCTGTTGGCACAGCCTTGTCCTCCCCAGAGCTGGTGACACGGAGAGAAGGAGGTCCTGCACGAGGAGAAGGGGAACTGCGAGAACTGCAGTGTCCAGCTGCGCTGGGGAGGCACAACAGGACCTGCCAGGAAAGCAGAGGCAGAGCCCAGAGAGCCACTCACCAGCTCTGTGGAGTTGAAATACCATGTGAAGACCAGGTCCTGGAAGCCTATGCAGGTGGTGAAGACGCAGGGCAGCAGGACATTGGAGTTGTTCAGAGCCGTCACCGTGTTGGTCTTCCCCACCGACACCTCCAAGGCGAAGGCAATGGCGAAGATGTGCAAACCTGGCCGGGAGAGGGGAGGAGAGAGTGAGGCCAAGGCTTTGTCACCCCTCGTCCCCTTTGGCGTACCAGGCTGCCACGGCAGGAGCAAAGGCGCCTGCCCCAGCCCTAGAAGGGCTCGGTGACAGAGGGACCTGCAGGGACTGGGGCTGGGTCACCCAAAGAGACAGCAAAGCTTCAAGGGAACCAGAATAGCCCCAGGAAGAAAGCGTGCAGATGAGAGCCCTGATTTGCATGTTATCCACAGGCCTCCAGCTAGACCTCAAAGGAGGAGAAAAAAGCCAAGGCGAAGCAGAGCTCTGTTCTTCAGGCGGGAGCTGGAGCAGTAATTAGCGTGGCTGTCCTGGCCGCCTGCCACCGGCTCGCCCTGCCCTGCCCTCCGGAGCAGCCCCCTCATGCCCAGCAGCGAGAGCCCTGGCTCCCTCCAGAGCTGCCAATGACCTTCAAAGTGCAGGATGCAGCTCTCCCACTCCTCGGCTCCCCGCGAGCAGGGAGAGAGGAGCAGGGAGGAGCCCAGCTGCAGCTGAGCACTCCTGGGGTGCAGGGATGGCATTGCACTGGGCTGGGCCACCACTGTCCCCACAGATCCTTTCTGGGAGCACGGGGATGCTCTGGTCCCGGCCAGAGGAGCAAACCCGCTCCCCATCCCCATCCCAGCACTGCCCCATCCCGTTTGTGTGATGTGGCACGGCTCAGATGTGACACGGCCCAGCACAGCGCTGTCCTCCCCTTTCCCAGACCTCAGCTGCCCCTGCAGAGCTTTTCCTGGGCACAAAATCCAGGGGACACAGCTTTTCCCAGGCTACAAGGCGATCCCCAGCTGCCCCAACACCTTAACTCGGACACGCTGCCCTCAGTCTGGGATTCGCCTCTCTCTGCAGCCGCCTCAGCTGCTGATTTATTCTCCCACACAAGCCGGTGCTAACAACTCCCCAGGCACGTCGCAGCCGGAGCCAAGCCCGAGAGCCCTGCATCCTGGGCTCCGGGCCCTGCTGCAGTGCTGCATTGCAAGCACTGCAGGCGAGGAGTTATTTAACTTTACACTGAAGCACTCCTCCTTTTGCTGAGAGGAGCTAACGCCAGGGAGTGGTTCCCGGCAGATGGAATCTCCTGCAGCTCTCAGGCCTCTAGAGCAGCCCTGGGGATGCTCCAGAGGGGACTTCACAGGCAGGAGTGTCCCAGGGGACAGCAGCTGTCCCCCTGGAGCAGGAGTTGGCAGAGGGATGCTTGTCTCTGCAGGTACGTCTGAGCCTGCAGCGTGCTGCAAGCGGACACTCACAGGAAAGATGATTCCTTGCAGCTTGCAACACTTTAAAACCTGTCTGCCACCCTGAGAATGTAACCTGAATTGAATGTGTGGGGTAAACCGAGGCTGACCTTGCTCCTGCCGTCCTGTGCTCCCCAGGAAGACACAATTGATCTGTTACCACTAAATAAAGCACGGAGGAAAAGACGCTGGGGGAGCACTGACTGAACCTGCCGCACATCAGCTCTCAGCGCTGCTTTTCCAAACCCTCCCAAAGCTGCTGCACTTTGCACCACCAGGCCCCCAACCTTCAGGGCCACCCTCCTGGGGGCTCCAGGCTCTCTCCCATGCCTGCAGGCACCGGCGTTTTCCAGGGAAGCAGGGAGCAGCCACTCCTGCTTCTGCCAGAGCCTCGGCTGCCTGCGCTTTGCTCCTGCAGAGGGAGAGCCGCCCAGAGCGAGGGGGCTTGCTGAGCACCGTGCTCACCCCGGGCTGCTGTCTGTGGGAAAGCTGCTCTAGAGGAACTTTCACTGCCCGTAAAAGTCAGCGTGACATCCTGGAGCAGGCAGCAAGCCACGGCTGCCAGGCTGGCCGGGCTCCTCTCCAGCGGGGTTCAAAGAGAGGAGTTCGTCGGGCAGCCCGAAGCCAGGGGCGGTGTGCTCCGGGACAGACCCACGGCCCTCTCCCCTCCTCTCCTCTCCTCAGGAGGGGCTCTGTGCTGCAGCCAGAGCCGCTCCCTGCGGAGCTCAGCACCCCCGGAACCCCCAGACACAGAGAGAACCGCCTGCACCCCCTGCCCACCGCCTCTCCAGCTCCCAGCCCACCTGAGCGACCTGTGGGACCAGGTTCCCACCTCCACGTCCTGGACCCTTGACCCCTGCGTGGTCTCAAGCATCTCCGAGTCTCTCCTACCACCCCTCTGCCAGCTCAGGTGCCGGCACCCAAATCTTGCAGGGGGTCAGGTACTTACATGCTTGTGTGTGTCTCCAGCATCCTTTAACTTAAGAACTTTGCCCTCTAAAACGCCTCCCACGGGAGCGCCCCAGCAGCGAGCGCTGCGCAGCCAGCCCGAGTTCAGGCTGGCACCAGGATGACCCACGGGAGCGGGAGTGCAGCGGGTGCGTGAGGCTGATGCGGGTGGCTGGAGCCTGCCCCAGGTGTGCAGTGGGGAGGGAACGGCCGCCAGCCCCTCCCCGCACCCCGCGGCGGCGGATCCCGGGCATCCCCGGCTCCATGGGGCTGGGCACCATGCTGCAAGCAGCGGCCCTGCAGCGCGGGGGGCTCCCCGCGCCGGGGACAAGCACATGCGAGCGCTCCTTGTACCAAAGGAATGTAAGACAATGACCTGTCGGCGGGCGTGCTGGCGCTGAAGCAGTGCACGGGCCATCCCCGGGGCCGGGCGGGCAGCGGTCCCCGCTCGCCGGGCAGCGCAGCGGGGCAAAGCGGGGTGCAGCCGCGGTGCTCGCAGGAGAAGCGCCGCCGCGGGCAGGGCAGGGGCTGGAGCCGGCACTTCGGAGCTGGGGCTCGGCTGCCAAGTCACCTTGGCCGAGTGACTTATCCCCGGCGCTCCGGACCGTCCGTCTGCAGAGCGGAGAGCGGCGTTAGCGGCATCCCCGGGCGGGCGGGCGGGGCGCGGGGGTGGGTGCGGAGCGGGGACCCCCTCCTCGGGCTGCCGTGGGTCCCCGGGGCAGGGTCCCCGCCGGGGAGCCGGGGTGGGGGGACACAGGAGGCGGGAGGGGTCCCCGCAGCCCTCGGCGCCCCTTACCCAGGAGCGCGGCCAGCAGGCGCGGCGCGGCGCGGCGGCGAGCGGCGGGCGAGCCCGGGGCCATGGCTGCAGCGCGGAGCGGCGCGGAGCGGAGCGGAGCGGTCCCTGCTGCCCGCAGCGCCCGGCTCTGGCCGCCCCCGCGGAGGGCGAGCGGCGCCGGGCGGGGCCGCGCCGGGCGGGGCTGCGCTGAGCCCTCCTCCGCTCTCCTCCGCGCTCCTCCGCATCCCCCCGTGCATCCCCCCGTGCATCCCCCCGGGCATCCCCCCGTACATCCCCCCGTGCATCCCCCCGTGCATCCCCCCGGGCATCCCCCCGGGCATACCCCGCGCCCCCGCCCGCCCGGGGAATCGCGGAGCGCTCCCGGAGTGGGGCAGTGCCCCAGTGATGCTCCCCCTGCGCTCCCCGCTGATGGAGCCCATCCCGAATCCTGGCGCAGTTTTGGGCCCCTCGAAAGGACGTTGAGGTGCTGGAGTGTGTCAAGAGAAGGGGTGGAGAACCAGTGGGGTGAGGAGAGGCCGAGGGAGCTGGGGGGTTTAAACTGGAGAGAAGGAGGCTCGAGGGGACCTTCTTGCTCTGGTCAGCTCCCTGACAGGAGGGTGGAGCCAGGTGGGGGTCGGGCTTTTCTGCCAGGTAACAAATTACGGGACAGGAAAAGGCCTCAAGATGTGCCAGGAGAGGTTTAGGTTGGATTTTGGGGAAGATTTCTTCACTGAAAGGGTTGCCCAGCCCTGGCACAGGCTGCCGAGGGCGGTGGTGGAGTCACCAACCCTGGAAGATTTCAACAACCATATGGCTGTGCCACTTGGGGACATGGTTTAGTGATGGCCTTGGCAATGCTGGGTTTGTAGCTGGGCTTGATCTTAGAGGTTTTTTCCAGTCTCAGTGATTCTGTGGTGGCCTGGAAACACTGGGCTGGTGTTGCCCTGAGCTGCTTCGGGAAGAGGCAAAGTGCCACTAAGGCCGGTGGCTTCCCAGGACAACAAAAGAGGACAAGGCCGGGGCTCAGCTCTCCTTGGGGCACCTCAGCAGTGTGGCACCGGGTCCGGGCCCTCCATCCCCAGGACAGACAGCAGACACAGGTGGGATGCAAAGCCAGACACCGATGGCTGCAGAGGGACGCGCCTGGCGCCGAAGGGAACACTCTGAGAACTTCTTTTTCTCGCTGTGATCTTGTTCCGGGATAATTGTTTGCACAAAAGTTCCCTTCCTCCCATCCATTAGTCCTGCCCTTGGCACACCGCACCCCCAAGGCGGCCGTGGGCGCTTTCTAATGGAAGCCCCGGGGTGTGGTGTGGGCAGGCAGAGCTTCACCTCCAGTCCATTAGCCACGAGCCTCCCGCAGCCTTTGCTGTTCCCAAAACAGTGGTGGCGGGAAGGGGAGGAGGTGCTGCTGGTTTCTTCCCTGCAGTGACACAGGGCACATGTCCTGGCAGAGCTCACCCCGGGGACCAGGCTTCCCCGAACTGATGGATTGGTTTTTGGGTGTGAGAGCAGCTCACCTGCAGGGATGCTGCCTGCACATCCAAGGTGCCACAGCCTGTCACCTTCAGGGCTCCTCATCCCCATCCAGCCCCTCTGCAGCTCTCCTGCCAGCAGCACGGAGCAGCAGAGAGGAGGGAAAGCAGGAGGCTTGGCAGGGCACGGGGACATCCCAGGGGAGCCCGAGAGGATGCCAGCAGTGCCCGTGGGTTGAGGCGTTAGGGCTGCAGAGCTGGCAAAGAGGCAGGAGAAATATCGGTGGAGTAGGCAGGGCAGCGCTGGCAGCTGGCGCTGCGGGAGCGGCGTGCACGGCTCTGCTGATGCAGCAGAAGGTGCCTGGGCGGGCGGCGGGGATGGGTTCAGGGAGAGGATGGATTCAGGGAGAGGATGGATTCAGGGAGAGAATGGATTCAGGGTAGGGATGGATTCAGGGTAGGGATGGATTCAGGGAGAGAATGGATTCAGGGAGAGGATGGATCCAGGGAGAGGATGGATTCAGGGAGAGGATGGATTCAGGGTGGGAATGGATTCAGGGAGAGGATGGATTCAGAGAGAGGATGGATTTGGGGTAGGGATGGATTCAGGGTAGGGATGGATTCAGGGAGGGGAGGGACTCAGGGAGGGAAGGGATTCAGGGAGAGGATGGATTCAGGGTGGGGATGCACTCAGGGAAGGGATGCACTCAGGGAGCTAATGGATCCAGGGAGCTAATGGAGCCAGTGAGGTGATGGACACAGTGAGGGGATGGACACAGTGAGGGGATGGACACAGTGAGGTGATGGACACAGTGAGGAGATGGACACAGTGAGGGGATGGACACAGTGAGGGGATGGACACAGTGAGGGGATGGACACAGTGAGGTGACAGACACAGTGAGGGGATGGACACAGTGAGGGGATGGACACAGTGAGGTGACAGACACAGTGAGGGGATGGACACGGTGAGGGGATGGACAGGACCTGCAGCAGGGGAGATTGGAACAGCAGCACCCCTACTCTGGTGCAGGGGAAGGTGGGAAGGAGCCCCTCCTGGGATGCTCGGGTGCCTGCCAAGTTTGCTTGCATTTGGGATGCAAGTTGGGATGCATTTGGCCTAAACTGCCACTGAGAATCTTGCCAGCAGAGCCCTGAATCCTTCTGGAGGCAGGAAGGTTTGGAAACCTGGCTGCAAGGGCTGGCCAGTAAACACAGCAGAGCTCCTGTGGGCACTGGCACAAACGGGGGGCACTGGGCAGGTGGGCACCCGGCTTATTCCGTGCTGAGTGTCCCCGCAGAGGTGACAGCCGGGCATCCCCACTGCTCCAGACACCCGGGGCGGCTGTGCCCACGCAGCCCCGGGGCTGGCAGCGGGACGCTGGCTGTCACCAGCGCCTGATGGAGCTGTCACACTCGGCAGCTCCAGCTGGTCTCCTCGGCCGACTGATCCCGTGTGACATCTGCCAGTGCCGGGGCCAGGCAGGGCGCTGGCAGCAGCTGGCCCTGGCATTTCGGCAGGACGCAGACGTCCGGCCTGGGATCCGGGATTCCTGCAGCTCAGCGGAACTCGTTCTGCTGATCCCAGCACCGGGCTGCTGCCTCTGGGTTCAGGGAAGGTGAGCACCCCGAGCTCGGACACTGTCACCTCCCCGGGGACAGGAGGGAGGGCTCAGGGGTGCTGCCAGCTGGCTCCCAGGCATGCCTGTGCACCCTCAGCCCCTCTCAGCTTGCACTGGCGGAGCTGGGAGGGTTAAAATGCCAGGCTGCTGCTCTCCGAGGAGGGCTCCTGCCTCCCTCCACGTGGGTACCGAGCAGGTAGGGCTGAGCAGAGCAGCTGGGCTGCAGCTCCAACGCGGCTGCCCCGGAGCACCGTGCCAGTGCCAGCCTCCTCCCAAAACCTCCCCGAGCCAGACGATGCTGTGCTCCCGGACCCGAGCAGGCAGAGCCCTCCTGCCGGTGGAGGGGGAGGAGGAGGTGGCGACGCTGGAACAGAGCTTCCCATCAGCACCTTATATTTACTGCAAGGTCCTCTGGCTGTGACCTTTAAAAGACAAGGTGGGCTGGCATCCCGGCAGCTGGCAGTGGGCAGGAGGCACCGCAGGGACTCTGCAGGACTGTCCTGGCCGGGCTGGAAGGTGAGGGAGAGGTGCCGGGCACGGACTGCGGGTGAGTACCTGGCTGCTTTGGTCATTCCAGCTCTCCCTGCCTGCAGCTCTCCCTCGCAGCGGCGCTTTCCCCTCTCCCTGCGCTGCCGCTGCTGCTCGCCCCCCTACCTCCGGAGCGCGCAGGGTCCTCACCCTTCCACCCCTCCACGGGCCCTTGAAACGCGCGGGGGAAGAGCGGCCGTGTCCCCGGCAGCCACTGCAGAGCATCTGCAAGGAGCGCTGAGCCAGCCCTGCTGTGTCCCAGGAGAAAGTTTGATCCTGACCCGGCACAGCCCGAGGCCAGCTCCGCCGGACCCTCCCCATTCTGTCCCCCCTGAGCTGCCCTTCACAGCCCTCACTGCCCCAGGCTGTTGTTCCCTTTCCAGGTGCCCCTCTTCACTTCCCAGCCCCGGGAGCAGGGCAGCACTGCAGGGAATGTGGCTCTGGACTCTCCCTGAGACAGCCCAGTGGTCCCCTGTGACTGCACAGCACCAGACAGAGGTCCCTGCCACCTCCCACCCTTCTCCTGCTCTTTAACACCTGTAATCCCACCTGGCCCGAGGCAATTTTAGTGTTCTGTACCCAGGAACGTCCATGGTTCTGGAGAATCCATGAACCCCAGAGCTGGGAGGCTGCTGTCGCTGCCCTCAGTCCCCTGCAGGGAGGAGAACTCACCCTTGTTGTGTCCCACGGGGTCTCCTCTGTGATCCCACTGCTCTCCTCAAGTTTTTTTGCCAGCAACATTCTAACGAGCACCCTAAAAGTGCCGAGGGGTCCCCCACCCCCTTTACCCATGGCTGTATTTACCCCTGAGGCGGGCTGGGGATACCCCCACATCCCTCTCCGGGGAGCTGCTCCTCCCTGCACGGCAAAGCTGCTCCCTGCCACGGGCCAGGGATCGATTGGCAGCCCAGAGCTGCAGGACTGTGTCAGCAGCGCCGTGGAGGTGATTTGGGTGCCCTTCCTCGGGGAGGGAGAGGTGCCAGGGAAGTTGGAAGTTTTCCGCAGCGGTGCCCAGGGCGCGGTGTCCGGCAGGGACAGGGACAGGGACAGGGACAGGGACAGGGGCAGAGCTCATCCCACTGCCTCTGCTGCTGGGAACCGTGGTGGGCTGAGCAAGGTGGAAACTGGGGAGGGCTGGAAGGTGGGAAGAGGTGCCGGCAGTGCTCGGGGCAGAGCGTGGCCAGACTCTGCTGGTGTGAGGAATTGGGATGCTCGGAGTGAAGGGCAGCAGGGAGAAGCGGGGTGAGGACAGCTGTCAGAGCTTCCCTCGTGTCTCCACGGTGGCTGAACTGATGGATGCGCCCGTTAACTGTGCCCCAGTTGTGTCGTGCTGCTCTGGAGCATCCCCACGGCGCTGCTGGAGCGGGAGAAGGGCCGGTTACGGGTGTCCATCACCCCTGGGCTCTGCTGGAGCCTGCTGAGCCTTACCTCCATGAGCAGCCATCCGTCCCAGCTCTCTGGGAGGCACAGGGGCTGACAGGCCACAGGACCTGGAGGTACCACAGTGGGTGTGGAGCACCCCTGAATCTCCCCGTGGGAAGGCTGGGGCAGCGCTGGCCACACTCCCAGCACTGCCCTGGCTCTGTGGCAGCTCTGGGGGCAGAGCTGGGGACACACAGCGTGCCCTGGGCTCCCTCGGCACCCAAAGCACCTCAGCAGGACCAAGCCCTGCTCCGGAGCAGGCAAGGGGCCTGTCCTGCTCCTGCAGGCTGCGGCACAAAAGCATCGAGGGCAAAGTCGGTGTTTTGTTGTTCTTTTGTTTGTTTGGCTGTACAAAGAGCAATAAAAACCCCCCGTGCTGGGAGGGTGGCTGGCAAGAGAAGCCCGGGGGGAGGCGCAGGCCCGAGGCCGCAGCACGAGGCAGAGCAGCCCCAGGTTGTGCAGATCTGTATTTGTGGGCTCTGCGCTGTGCACGGCTACGTACAGACAGGTGCGTTGGCGAGCTGCAATCCAAGGACAGCGCACAAAGAGAAATGAAAGGCAGAGGCGAGGCTGGTCCTGGGCAGCCCTCGGAGGCCTCTGCGCCCCCGAGGCGCTGGCTCAGTCCCGCCAGGAGCCGGGGGCAGCCCGGCCTGGCAGAAAGCGGGGCGGGAGCCCTGCGGCACCGCTGGCACTGTGCGGGGCTGGGGCAGCCCGGCGCTCCCGGCAGCAGGGCCAGGAAGGAGCCGGGCTGGGACACTGGGACACGGCACATTCCTGGGAGCGGCGTGGGGCCAGTGGGGTCCAGCGGGATGCACGGGGCATGAGGGGAAGGTGGAAAGCGATGGGGCAGAGCGGGGAGGGCACAGCTGTCCCGCCATCCCTGGGGCCTGGTGGCATTGCCGGGATGGCGCCCGAACAGGGACATGGCAAAGGGACGCTGCCAAGGTGTCCCCTCTCCCCTGGCAGTGCTGCTCGTGGGCGACAGGACCTGCATCCCCTGCCCCTGGGCAGTGTCCCCCGTGGCTCCGGGCACTGTCCCCTCCTGGCAGCCACCGGAGAGGAGAAGCTCAGGCCTGGTGACAGGGGACACTGCCCGGGGTCATTCCCTGCCTGGAGCCCGGTGCTGCAGCCAGCACAGCTGACCTGCCAGCTGAGGCAGGGGGCACACGGGGCTGGGCACGCTGGCAGTGCATTGCCATGGCAGTTAGAGTGTGCAGTGCTCTGCAGGAGGCTGGAGGAGGCAGTCTCAGCGTCGCAGGGCTGCTCCAGGCTGGCAGAGCTGTCCTAACTCTGGGCCTGCTGTTGTGCCCAGTCCTTCCCAGCAAGTGCCCGAAAGCTCCTCTCCCTTTCAGCAGCTCCTTGTCCCGAGCAGCCTCACCCCAGCACTCCCCACCACCCCTGACACACCATCAGGACATTTGCCACCACAACCACCCCCCCCAAGGAGGAAACCAGCACAAAAATGTCAGCCCAGCACTTTGGGCTGAGGTGCTCAGACCCAAAACCAGCCCGAGGGGCGGAAGGGTCCATCCCTCGCACACCAAGGGCTGTTAATGGTTCCAAAACCCTGCAAAGCTCCCAGACACTGGGTGGGCTCATGGCCTTGGCCACTGACTTGTGAGCAGCCTGGGACTGTCCCTGAGGAGCACGAGCTCGCAAGGAGGAGACTGGCAGCTATTGGGATCCCTCAGAAAGGGAACACCAGTGCCACCAGGCACAGCAGGAGCACCTCGGGATGAGTCTGGGCACCATGGGGCTGCCCAGACCCCTCTGTCCCTCCTGGCACCCCCTGCTCCAGTCCGTCCATATGTGGGGGCTGCACAGGCCCCCCCTCACCCGCCCCAGCCTGTCCCCAGCACCTCCTCACAGCACTGGCACTCAGAGCAGGGGACAGGCTGGTCCCAGCTCAGCTCAGG